CAAACACAGTGTATCAGAATTCTCAATAGATGTTGTCATAAGTAAGAACAGAAGACAAATCCAAAGATAACAGCGTGTATCTATCCTCTACACAACATCTTGTCTTTCTACTGGTTGGCGATGACATCATAGAGGATGTCAGTGAGGGGAGGTCCCTGGATGAGTGTGTGGTAATGAGAGGGAAGGTCTGCAGTAGGTCTGGCTGAAGATGATGGTGGCTGACCCACTATCTCATACATGGCCACATCTCCACTGGAACTCTGGTCATGGGACACCACTCCATAGGCTGCATTAGTGGCAGTGGGAACACTCTTACTCTCCACTTCACCTCCTTCTCTCACTCCTCTGTGGGGGACGGAAGCATAAGGAACCTGTTAGTGTGTATGCCAAGGGTTACAGAATGATGAACTTACGGTTTTTCGAGCATTAATTTGAGGGTCCGAATCTTAAGAATGAGTATGACAAACCCACAATGTAGAGACTCCAATGATCAAGATGATGACGAGTGAGAGGATACCTCCAACAATTGAAGCTGACTCATTACTTCAGTTGACATGAGGCAGGTTGACCTATGTGATGTGGTTGTTGACAAGTTTTGCATGCAATTATCATAAACTATGGTAGCTGCTACAACCTTTATAATACTGCTCAGAGGGAGTAGCTTAAGTTAGCTATACCCCTGCATAAACACAGGACATTCCACTTACAGTCCATAGAAACTGTTGTGATGTCATGGCACTCTGCACATTATGCCTAATTGGTGGTAACCTTATTTGTCCACAAATTGGTAAGATTAACCAGCCCACCTCAAATAAATCCTAAACTGTCTGAGACATGCCCGCCTCAACACACACACACAACCCAATCATGTCACAACTATGTCCCAACAGCACCAACACACGAGACACATCATCTGAAGACCTGTGCATCTGTGTAGTGACAAGTATGGTGAAGATCTCACCTGCTCCTACTAGATCTGCGTGCAGTGTTGGTGCCAGGACTGAACATAGTAAGTGGTGTGTCCCTCAGACCAGACAATTAAATTTGACTGAGTAGGTCATCACACACCCTCGTCCCGGTGTGTCCTGCTGCTATTGTGGAACCAGACTCTCCCTACTACTAGTGCCATACTGTACTACATATGTCTCTGGAGAGTAGGATATGTGGACCCTCTCCCTCCACGGGAGAACCGTGACACTGTGTGACTGTACGTCTGAATGTGACGTCATTCCTTGTCGTCTTCTGGTCTCACTGTCTCACATGTTGCCCTCTGCACTCATTAAGGGTAAGAATATGAAGCACCTTTTAAGGAATAATCACACCAAACCTGGATATTGAGAAGAGTAGGCCGAATAGATGGACAGGACTAGCAGGTCCCAGAGAGGAGTGAGGTAACACGACACTCGTATGTGGCATGTCAGGGAAGTGGACCGGAGAAATCCAGGGCGAAAACTGGGAACAAAGTAATTGTGAGGCTACTGTGTACAGACAACACCACCCCACATCACCAGTTGCTCCAGATATGGTGAGTACCTTTGAGTCCGGGCCCTCACTGGGACTTCCCTTTTGCCTCTTAGAAACCGAATCACCTCCATTGCTACCAATCTCTTCCTCTCACCACTCCAAATCAGATCAATATCACAATATACTACCACATCTTCTCCTACCCGGATAATGTCTTCACTTATTCTGACCACCACAGATGGATCTTGTACTGTTTATGTGTAGGTATTGATAAAAGAATGCCAGTAGATTAGATGGAGAGAACTTACTAATAGGTATAACTCTTTCTGTGTCCCTTGTTGTAACAGTTGTCCCTCCATCCACAGTGTAGCTGGCAGTACAGGTGTAGTCTCCTCCATGAGCCAGTGATAGTGGGTCTAGAGAGAGTTGTCTGGTGACCACTCTATTGTCAGTTGTGTCAACAGTTTGCTCATCAGTGGAAGGTCCGTGCCACTGGATGGAGACTGAGCTGTCTCTAGCTCTGTGGGAGAGAGCTACTGTGCAGGTGAGAGTGTAGACTGAACCTACTTCCCTTGATCCTGAACCAACCAGCTCCACTGACATCTCACCATCTACATAAACCCATTGTATGTGATGGTGGCATCGACATAAATACCTTACCGATATTGAGGTGAGCCTGTACTAGTCTTGATGATACCCCATTGGCTGTGTAGCTAGCAGTACAGATAAAGGATCCAGGGCCGTTTGACAGTATAGGGTTCAGTGTTATATTGCTTATGTAGACTCCAGTAGTGGTCATGACAGGCTGTGGTTGTGGAAGTAGTCCGAGCCACTGGATATCAAGAGAGTCTGGCTCCACTCCACTGGGTAGACTGACTCTACATGTCAGTGTGTATGAGTCCCCCACTCTGACCCGTCTCCTGACACACGCTCAGGAGACTCTGCTGAAACTACATGTACAGATATTCAAAGCTTTAGAGTGCGTATAACGTTTGTTTAGTTACGCCGGTATGTGACGGTCGCCGCTACACGCTGGGAAGGTCAATAGAGCCACTGGAGAGATATGGTCACCCTCCAACTGGAAGATCAGTCAGTAGATGACTATTGTCTCTGATCTCCCACTGTCAGTGAAGGACACACTGTGACTCTCTCCTCCCACTCATAGTAGACCACATGAGCTATAGTCAGAGATGGGTGGCCCTGCAATGTCCACTCTAGTGAGATACTGGTGGGGTTTTTGTAGGTAGCACTGACACTTGTAGGTCCATGGCACTAATATAGAGTAACAGTTTAGTATTGCAGTCATTTTTAATACCATACCTCGAACAAGTATCTGTGCTGATAGACCAAGCAAGGAACCTGGGACATATTCATGCCTGTTGTTGCTCACAGTACATGTGTATGTTACTGTTGTCTCTCTTCCCCTGACTCTCAGAGTGTTATTATAGACAGTGTTACTTGATGTTCCACTATGATCTGACTGGTGGTGTGGTTACTGGTCTTCCTCTACTGTCACTTCATTCCCCTCCACACCACATCTGTGACTGGTCCTCCCTACTCTGACAGTGAGAGTGACTCAGGAGGATCCTCATTTGCCGCTGAGTCCAGAGTGAAGTAAAATTTCATTGGTATGAAAAATGCACCTGTGTTTTTAGCAAATTAAGACAAAAGGAGACTAACTCCTATAGATACCTGTGGTTGGAGTCCCAAGGTAGATGTAGATACTCTGCTGTACTCCATTACTATCAGGTATATCACATCTCCACATTCCTGAAGTTCCTCCTGTTCTGCGATTGAGATAGACCACTCCATCTCCCTCTAGTGACATACAGGTCACCCTCTCCATCTGGTCCCTGATGGACTTGTCTTCCCATCTCATCATACCAGTCACCTTGTCCATTGCTACAACACTCTGAGTTGTCAGTCACACAATGCAGTGAGTCATTGTGGCCTTCTCCAATGTTTACTGGTTGTCCACGAACTATGAAGGAGTTGCTGTTTACCCAGAACATCACCTCTGAACTCAATCGAGGGTAGGACTGGCAGCTAACCTCCTGCTAGCAGTAAGGCTACCACCACAGATAGAGCTTTGCCATGCTGTCTTCTGCCACGCTTGCCCTAGCTATGACTATGTTAACTGTGGTCACCACACACACACAAAGCATGCCAAGTGGGCATTAGGTAGAACAAACACAGTATATAAGTATAATTCTTCAATGTTGTCATAAACTAAGTAAGAACAGAAGACAAATACAAAGATAAACAGAGTGTATCTATTGTCTACATAGCCATCCTGTCTTTCTACTGGTTGGTGATGACATCATAGGGAGAGTCAGTGAGGGGAGGTCCCTGGGATGAGTGTGGACAATCAGAGGGAGGGCGTGCAGCAGGTCTGGCTGAAGATGATGGTGGCTGACCCACTATCTCATACATGGCCACATCTCCACTGGAACTCTGGTCATGGGACACCACTCCATAGGCTGCATTAGTGGCAGTGGGAACACTCTTACTCTCCACTTCACCTCCTTCTCTCACTACTCTGTGGGGGGCGGAAATATAGGATCGTATTATTTGCCAAGTTTTAGAGAATGATGAACTTACTGTTTTTCGAGCATTAATTTGAGGGTCCGTATCTTAAGAATGAGTATGACAAACCCCAATATAGAAACTCCATGATCAAGATGATGACGAGTGAGAGGAATGCCCAATCCAACAATTGAAGCAGACTCATTGACTTTCTTTCAGTGATATGAGGGCAGGTATGACTATTATGTTAATTTGCTGTAGAAGGCTCTTATTGGCATCAGACAGTAGCAGCTTAGGACACCTAGACTATCTACTCAGAGGATTAGCTTACAGTTAGCTATACCCTGCATACACATGGGCCATTCTACTTACAGCTCTAGAAACAGTTTGACTACTCTACGTGGCTGTCATGGGCATATAGAAACATTTAGCTAATTGTGGTACCTCATTCGTCCTACATTTCGTAACAGTAACAGCCCTCAAATAAAATATTCAGCTCTTTTTGTCTGAGGACTGATCACGCACGATGTACAACGCAACAGACACAGCGCCACACAAATCATCTGACCTGCTGTCATCTCTGGAAGTGACAAGTGTTGTGAGGCTCTCGACACTGCTCCTACTAGATCTGAGTGGCGTGTGGTGGGCCAGGACTTGAACATAGTAGGTGGTGTTGTCTCTCAGACCAGACATTTGACAGAGTAGGTCATCACACCTCTTCACTGTGTGTCCTGCTGCTATTGTGGATCAGACTCTCCCTACTAGTGCCATACTGTACTAACTATGTCTCTGGAGAGTAGGATATGTGGACCTCTCCCACTGGACCCGTGACACTGTCTGACTCGTACTTCCCTGAATGTGACGTGTTCTGGTCTCACGGGTCCACCGGCTCTAAATAAGGAAAGAATATGAGGCACTTTAAGGCTAATTCATCAAAACCTGATATATTGAGAAGATGGTAGCAGAGAGAGGAGACAGGACTAGCAGGTCCCAGGAGAGGAGTGAGGGTAACACGACACTCGTATGTGGCCATGTCAGAGAAAGTGGACAGGACTGAATGTGAGGCTACTGTGTACACCACCCACACCACAGTGGCTCCAGATATGGTGGAGTCTTGAGTCAGGTCTCACTGGGACTCCCTCTTGAAACCAGTCACTCCACTGCTACATCTCTTCCTCTCACCACACTCCCATCAGATCAATATCACAATGCTACTACCACATCTTCTCCTACCAGGATAGTGTCTTCACTAATTCTGACCACAACAGATGGAGCTTGTACTGTTTATGTGTAGGTATTGATAAAAGAATGCCAGTAGATTAGATGGAGAGAACTTACTAATAGGCATGACTCTTTCCGTATCACTTGTTGTAACAGTTGTCCCTCCATCCACAGTGTAGCTGGCAGTACAGGTGTAGTCTCCTCCATGAGCCAGTGATAGTGGGTCTAGAGAGAGTTGACTGGTGACCACTCTGTTGTCAGTTGTGTCAACAGTTTGTTTATCAGTGGATGGTCCCAGCCACTGGATATCAAGAGAGTCTGGCTCCACTCTCACTGGGTCGAGACTCATCACATGTCAGTGGTATGAGGTCCCCACCACTCCTGAACTTCTCCTGACACCACCACCTCTGGAGACTCTGCTGCAACTGAATGTATATATACAAGTGGAAAAATCATTTCTTCAAAATGAAGGGGGATGTAGGGATGGTGTAAATTATGAAAAAGGATGCCAACAAGAAGATGCTTCAGCCGACAACAAAAATCTACATCCATCCCTACATCTTTCTTTCTTTTGCTCTGTATAAAAAATGTGTGGTTACTTGTCATAGAGTATGTAAGATACATTATTCACAACATAATTATCACAGTAGAGGTTGTGACTGGAGAATCCGGTAAAATTGAATGTTAAAGCACAAAAACTCAGCGAGCTATACCAGGAGTGACAGGCCCAGCCACACAACTGGGAAGGTCTACCAGAGCCACTAGAGAGATAGTGTGGATCCCTCCAACTGGAAGATCAGTCAGTAGATGACTATTGTCTCTGGATCTCCCACTGTCAGTGAAGGACACACTGTGACTCTCTCCTCCAGACTCATAGTAGACCACATAGCTATAGTCATAGATGGGTGCACTGGCAAATGTCCACTCTAGTGAGATACTGGTGGGGGTCTTGTAGGTAGCACTGACACTTGTAGGTTCCATGGCAGCTAATATAGAGTAATAGTTTAGATTGCAGCCATTTTTAATACCATACCTCGAACATATATCTGTGCTGATGACTTGCAAGGACACCTGGGACATATTCATGCCTGTTGTTGCTCACAGTACATCTATATGTTACTGTCGTCTCTCTTCCCCTGACTCTCAGAGTGTTATTATAGACAGTGTTGCTTGATGTGTCCACTATTATCTGACTGGTGGTGTGGCTACTGTCTTCCTCTACTGTCACAGTGTTTCTTTCTGCAGTCCTCCTCCACACCACCTCTGTGACTGGTCCTCCCTGACTCTGACATGTTAGAGTGAACTCAGGAGGATCCTCATTTGCCTCTGAGTCCAGAGTGAAGTAGATGACTGCTGACCTCAATTCACCTGTTTATACTTTCAGTAAATGAAAAAGTCACTGGTGCAGGTAGCACTGACACTTGTAGGTTCCATGGCAGCTATTATAAAGTAATAGTTTAGATTGCAGCCAGATTTAATACCATACCTCGAAGAATTATCTGTGCCCACTGACTAAGCAAGGTACCTATGACATATTCATGCCTGTTGTTGCTCACAGTACATCTATATGTTACTCTCGTCTGTCTTCCCTTGACTCTCAGAGTATTATTATAGACAGTGTTACTTGATGTGTCCACTATGATCTGACTGGTGGTGTGGCTACTGTCTTCCTCTACTATCACTGTGATTTTTTCTGCAGTCCTACTCCACACAACCTCTGTGACTGGTCCTCCCTTACTCTGACATGTGAGAGTGAACTCAGGAGGATCCTCATTTGCCTCTGAGTCCAGAGTGAAGTACATGACTGCTGATGTCAATTCACCTGTTTTTATAGTTTCAGTGATTAGAACATCATTTGAGAATAGCTTACCTGTGGTTGGAGTCCCAAGGTAGATGTAGATACTCTGCTGTACTCCATTACTATCAGGTATATCACATCTCCACATTCCTGTAGTCCCCCTTCTTCTGCGATTGAGATAGACCACTCCATCTCCTCTAGTGACATACAGGTCACCCTCTCCATCTGGTCCCTGCTGGACTTGTCTCCCCATCTCATCATACCAGTCACCTTGTCCATTGCTACAACACTCTGAGTTGTCAGTCACACAATGCAGTGAGTCATTGTGGCCTTCTCCAATGTTTACTGGTTGTCCACGAACTATGAAAGAGTTGTTTACCAGAACATCTCCTCTGAACTCAAATCGAGGGTAGGACTGAGAGCTAACTCCTGCTAGCAGTAAAACTACCACCAACAGACAGAGCTTTGCCATGCTGTCTTCTGCCACGCTTGCCCTAGCTATGACTATGTTAACTGTGGTCACTACACACACAGAGCATGCCAAGTGGGCATTAGGTAGAACAAACACAGTGTAATTATTCTTCAATAGAAGGCAAAAACACCACACAAGTTTTGTACAGCAAGAGCAATACATAATATTCTGTACAATAATGTTGCTAGACCTCTACATCTGCATAAAGGCCACTATCGTTGGCCGTAGTGTGAGTTATATGTTCCAGAGTGTTCTGGTAGTGCTGTTGGATCCCATCCTCCGACTCCTCTCCCTCCAGCTCCTTGACACTGCCTTGCAGCTTGTCCAGTAGACCCTTGATCACTGGCAGAGCCTGGGATATGTACAGCAGAAGGTAATATCATAGTAGCACACCTGCTTACCATAATACCCTGTTGAGGTATTCATGTGTGCAGGAGAAGATAATGCACTTAAGATACTTAAAGTGTATGAGCAGATTCTTGTGTGAAGTGTGCAAAAGCTCTTCAGGTATGTGTATAATATGTTAGATGTTGGTGCGTTAGTTACAATGCTATAATTAGTTAGTAATTACTCTCATTGAGTGGCTCTTAATACTAGGATCATGTGAGATTTGACTTGCAATGTTCTGATATAAGAAGGCTCAAAGATTTGCTGCAGAGTAAGCCTCAAGCATACATACGTATATACCTGTTCATTTCCCTTCTCGTAGAAGAGCATGTAGGTGTTGAGGAGTTCCACCAGTAGCTGGACCTGGACTGAGGTGTCCATACACTGCTGAGCTATGCGACCAGCCTTCTTGAGACACTCCAACACTCTCTTCGGGTCTTACACTGCACAGAAAGAAATGCAACATATCACGTCACTCCACGATGAATATCCATTTTCAACTACAGTGCAATACCTCCATTGAAAAGTAATGAAGCTAAACCACTAGTCTCACTAGCACCTGTATAGGTAAGTTGAACTGGTCTAGAGATTTGGCAACTTAAAGCTTGGCCACTGACTGTATGCCAATTCAGAAGTAGTGTGCATAGCTAAAACTGTGAAAAAACTTAAAATAGCTAATCACTAATTGATGGACACAAGTCAATTTCACAACCTTACACTGTGACTATAGTGTACCCATACATGTCTTTTACACAAAGTTGTCTTGAGAGGGGGGATATGGACACAGAATATTTCCGTGTGCTTCTATACCTGGCTAACACAACTCCCACTAAAATGTGATTTACACAGCAGCAACAGATGGTTGAAAGAGGGAGTACACAATCTCTACAAGGCATACAAATGCCTACCGTAACGCCTACAAGTTAACATGCACCCTCATCTCAATGGTACACGTCATGTCTATGATACAGTATGTGGTCCTTTCCCTTGCAGTGGAAATTTTGAGGGAGAGAAGCCGTACCAGACTGGTAGTGAAGCCTGCACTTCCTGCCCCAGCGAACGGCTCTACTGTGTCAACAACCTTTGCTCATGTACGACTAGATACTTTTTTGAATGTTCATTCCAAACTGCTCTCTCTCTCTCACACACAAATCTCTCTCTCTCCTCTCTCTCTACAGTTGAGTCAGGAGCAGTAGTTGCAGGAGTGTCCCTGCTGGCAGTAGTGCTGATGGCAGTGACTGGTGCTCTGATGCACTAAGCCATACTGGCCAATAAAGGACACATAGGCTTTTAATGCATAATTAGAGACCAGTCAACACTTTACAGACTTGGCAGTACAGTATTAGCCATAGACTTTCCTTTCGTTTTTTGAGAACAGAAGACAAATACAAAGATAAGCAGTGTGTATCTATTGTCTACATAACCATCCTGTCTTTCTACTGGTTGGCGATGACATCATAGGGAGAATCAGTGAGGGGAGGTCCCTGGGATGAGTGTGGGTAATCAGAGGGAGGGTGTGCAGTAGGTCTGGCTGAAGATGATGGTGGCTGACCCACTATCTCATACATGGCCACATCTCCACTGGAACTCTGGTCATGGGACACCACTCCATAGGCTGCATTAGTGGCAGTGGGAACACTCTTACTCTCCACTTCACCTCCTTCTCTCACTCCTCTGTGGGGGACGGAAGTATAGGAACCTGTTAGTGTGTATGCCAAGGGTTACAGAATGATGAACTTACGGTTTTTCGAGCATTAATTTGAGGGTCCGAATCTTAAGAATGAGTATGATGATCGCCAATGTAGAGACTCCAATGATCAAGATGATGACGAGTGAGAGGATACCTCCAACAACTGAAGCTGACTCATTACTTTCAGTTTGACATGAGGCAGGTTGACCTATGTGATGTGGTTGTTGACAGTTTTTGCATGCAATATCATAAACAATGGTAGCTATGACTGCTCAGAGGCAGTAGCTTTAACTTAGCCCTAGTTAGCTATACCCCTGCATAAACACAGGACATTCCACTTACAGTCCATAGAAACTGTTTACTTCTACGTGCTGTCATGGCACTTTGGCCTAATTGGTGGTACCATATTTGTCCAAATTGGTAAGATTAACAGCCCTCAAAATAAATCACTTTTTTTGTCTGAGACATGCTCACACACGATGTCACAAACAGCACCAACACAGAGACACATCATCTGACCTGTTGTCATCTGTGAAGTGACAAGTATTGTGAAGCTCTCAACACTGCTCCTACTAGATCTGAGTGCAGTGTTGGTGGCCAGGACTTGAACATAGTAGGTGGTGTTGTCTCTCAGACCAGACAATTTGACTGAGTAGGTCATCACACCCTCTTCACTGTGTGTCCTGCTGCTATTGTGGATCAGACTCTCCCTACTAGTGCCATACTGTACTACATATGTCTCTGGAGAGTAGGATATGTGGGACACTCTCCACTGGACCGTGACACTGTCTGACTGTACTTCCCTGAATGTGACGTCTTCTGGTCTCACTGGGTCCACCGGCTCTAAATAAGTGGAAGAAATTTTGAAGCAAACTTTTAAAAACTCACAAACCTGAGATATTGAGAAAGATGGAGGCAGAAGAGGAGACAGGACTAGCAGGTCCCAGGAGAGGAGTGAGGGTAACACGACACTCGTATGTGGCCATGTCAGAGAAGTGGACAGGACTGAATGTGAGGCTACTGTGTACACCACCCACATCACCAGTGGCTCCAGATATGGTGAGTCTTGAGTCAGGTCTCACTGGGACTCCCTCTTGAAACCAAGTCACCTCCACTGCTACATCTCTTCCTCTCACCACTCCAATCAGATCAATATCACAATATACTACCACATCTTCTCCTACTAGGATAGTGTCTTCACTTATTCTGAGCATCACAGATGGGGATGGTACTGAAATAAAAGTTTATACATAAGCATGGGCTTCATGTTTGAACTCACCATTTGGAATGACTTCTTCCACATCAGTACTACCAAGTATATCTCCATCAACAGTATAAAGGGCAGTACAGGTGTAGTTTCCTCCATGATCAAGTGATAGTGGGTCTAGAGAGAGCTCTCGGATGAATAGGTCATTTTCTGATGTGTCAACAGTTTGTTCATCAGTGGATGGTCCCAGCCACTGGATGGAGACAGAGCTGTCTCTAGCTCTGTGGGAGAGAGCCACTGTGCAGGTGAGAGTGTAGACTGAACCTACTTCCCTTGATCCTGAGCCTACCACTGTCACAGACATCTCAAAATCTGCTGAAAAAGAAGGAAGTCTGACTATATATGTGTTATTAAAATCTCACCAAATGCAAACTCAAGAGTGATAGAGTCCGTAACAAGTGGAGATGTAAGGTTTTCAAAGAAATAACCAGCCTGGCAGATATATTCCCCTACATCTGTTCCTTGGAGTGACTGCAGTTGCAGAGTTGCCAAAAAACCTTCATCGGTGGCTGAGATGGATGATCCTGGACCAAATGGCAGGTTAGGCCTTTTCCACTGGATACTGGGAGAGACTCCATGTACTCCATTAGGTAGAATGACTGCACATGTCACTGTATATGAACTTCCAGCAACTGCTATTCCTTCTCCAGATACATTGACTGATGGAGCTTCAACAGCTAAAATCACGTGCAAGAATAGTAATGGTTACATGGTTTAGCTACACATCATACCAGGAGTGACAGGTCCAGCCACAGGACTGGGAAGGTCTTCCAGAGCCACTAGAGAGATAGTGTGGATACCCTCCAACTGGAAGACCAGTCAGTAGATGACTATTGTCTCTGGATCTCCCACTGTCAGTGAAGGACACACTGTGACTCTCTCCTCCAGACTCATAGTAGACCACATAGCTATAGTCATAGATGGGTGTCCTGGCAAATGTCCATTCTAGTGAGATACTGGTGGGGGTTTTGTAGGTAGCATTGACACTTGTAGGTTCCATGGCAGCTATTATAGAGTAATAGTTTAGATTGCAGCCATTTTTAATACCATACCTCGAACTAATATCTGTGCCAATTGAAGCAAGGAACCTAGGACATATTCATGCCTGTTGTTGCTCACAGTACATCTATATGCTATATATACTGTCGTCTCTCTTCCCCTGACTCTCAGAGTGTTATTATAGACACTGTTGCTTGATGTGTCCACTATGATCTGACTGGTGGCGTGGTTACCGTCTTCCTCTACTGTCACTGTGTTTCCTTCTGCAGTCCTCCTCCACACCACCTCTGTGACTGGTCCGCCCTCACTCTGACATGTGAGAGTGAACTCAGGAGGATCATCATTTGCCTCTGAGTCCAGAGTGAAGTACATGACTGCTGACCTCAATTCACCTGTTTTTATTGTTTCAGTTATTAGAACGTCACTTATGGAGAATTACCTGTTTGTCGAGTCCCAAGGTAGATGTAGATACTCTGGTTCACACCATTACTATCAGGTATATCACATCTCCACATTCCTGAACGTCCTCCTCTTCTGCGATTGAGATAGACCACTCCATCTCCTCTAGTGACATACAGGTCACCCTCTCCATCTGGTCCCTGCTGGACTTGTCTCCCCCTCTCATCATACCAGTCACCTTGTCCATTGCTACAACACTCTGAGTTGTCAGTCACACAATGCAGTGAGTCATTGTGGCCTTCTCCAATGTTTACTGGATGTCCACGAACTATGAAAGAGTTGTTTACCAGAACATCTCCTCTGAACTCAAATCGAGGGTAGGACTGAGAGCTAACTCCTGCTAGCAGTAAAACTACCACCAACAGACAGAGCTTTGCCATGCTGTCTTCTGCCAGCTTGCCCTAGCTATGACTATGTTAACTGTGGTCACTACACACACAAAGCATGCCAAGTGGGCATTAGGTAGAACAAACACAGTGTATCAGTATATTCTTCAATAGAAGGCAAAAACACCACACAAGTTTGGTACAGCAAGAGCAATACATAATATTCTGTACAATAATGTTGCTAGACCTCTACATCTGCATAAAGGCCACTATCGTTGGCCTTAGTGTGAGTTATATGTTCCAGAGTGTTCTGGTAGTGCTGTTGGATCCCATCCTCCGACTCTCTCTCCCTCCAGCTCCTTGACACTGCCTCGCAGCTTGTCCAGTAGACCCTTGATCACTGGCAGAGCCTGGGTATGTACAGCGGAGGGTAATACTAGGAATGTGCACGTGCATATTTTGCCTCGCGCCTGCCAGCCAATGCGTAAACAGTCCGATTGAGGCAGCTCGTGCGTGCACTCTACTGACTGCGCGTGAAGCCAGACTTCCTACGAATCTGCGCGCACGGCGGAAATTGATATTCCCGAAGCGTGACTAATTGACATTCTTAAGTGTGACCGACACGTACGTACGTACACATATCGCGAGAATACAACCCAGAGTATTTGCCTCACGCTAACGCGCTCGGCAATCATAGTAGCACACCTGTTTACCATTATACCATGTTGAGGTGTTCATGTGTACAGGAGAAGATTATGCACTTAAGATACTTAAAGTGTATGAGCAGATTCTTGTGTGAAGTGTGCAAAAGCTCTTTAGGCATGTGTATATGTTAGATGTTGGTAACAATCATCCTTTGTAGAGAGGTCGTCCCTTTCTTGGAGGGTCCCTTATCATAGGTTCCACTGTAGTCAAATGCATCCAGGGCACAGTAAGTCTCATGCTTTAGTTACCTGTTCATTTCCCTTCTCGTAGAAGAGCATGTAGGTGTTGAGGAGTTCCACCAGCAGCTGGACCTGGACTGACGTGTCCATACACTGCTGAGCTATGCGACCAGCCTTCTTGAGACACTCCAACACTCTCTTCGGGTCCTTACACTGCACAGAAAAATGCAACACATCACGTCACTCCACGATGAATATCCATTTTCAACTACAGTGCAATACCGCCCATTGAAAAGAAATGAAGCCAAACCACTAGTCTCACTAGCACCTGAAATATTTTCACCTAAGGTAAGTTGAACTGGTCTAGAGATTTGGCAACTTAAAGCTTGGCCACTGACTGTATGCCAATTCAGAAGTAGTGTGCATAGCTAAAACTGTGAGAAACTTAAAATAGCTAATCTTTAATTGATAACTCCTGCTAGCAGTAAAACTACCACCAACAGACAGAGCTTTGCCATGCTGTCTTCTGCCACGCTTGCCCTAGCTATGACTATGTTAACTGTTGTCACTACACACACAAAGCATGCCAAGTGGGCATTAGGTAGAACAAACACAGTATATTCTAACACCACACAAGTTTGGTACAGCAAGAGCAATACATAATATTCTGTACAATAATGTTGCTAGACCTCTATATCTGCATAAAGGCCACTATCGTTGGCCTTAGTGTGAGTTATATGTTCCAGAGTGTTCTGGTAGTGCTGTTGGATCCCATCCTCCGACTCCTCTCCCTCCAGCTCCTTGACACTGCCTTGCAGCTTGTCCAGTAGACCCTTGATCACTGGCAGAGCCTGGATATGTACAGCAGAAGGTAATATCATATTAGCACACCTGCTTACCATAATACCCTGTTGAGGTATTCATGTGTGCAGGAGAAGATAATGCACTTAAGATACTTAAAGTGTATGAGCAGATTCTTGTGTGAAGTGTGCAAAAGCTCTTCAGGTATGTGTATAATATGTTAGATGTTGGTGCGTTAGTTACAATGCTATAATTAGTTAGTAATTACTCTCATTGAGTGGCTCTTAATACTAGGATCATGTGAGATTTGACTTGCAATGTTCTGATATAAGAAGGCTCAAAGATTTGGCTGCAGAGTAAGCCTCAAGCATACACACGTATATACCTGTTCATTTCCCTTCTCGTAGAAGAGCATGTAGGTGTTGAGGAGTTCCACCAGTAGCTGGACCTGGACTGACGTGTCCATACACTGCTGAGCTATGCGACCAGCCTTCTTGAGACACTCCAACACTCTCTTCGGGTCTTTACACTGCACAGAAAGAAATGCAACACATCACGTCACTCCACGATAAATATCCATTTCCAACTACAGTGCAATACAGTATCACTAGCACCTGAAATATTTTCACCTAAGGTAAGTTGAACTGGTCTAGAGATTTGGCAACTTAAAGCTTGGCCACTGACTGTATGCCAATTCAGAAGTAGTGTAAAACTGTGAGAAACCTAAAGTCGCAACCCTGCCATTCCCTCACTATACGGTATAACATGATTACTCTGAATTAAAGGGGCAGTGAGTGAGGCCTAGTCACACTGACCTCAGTGACCTCTCTGTCTTTGCTTGGGCAGTGGACGTGGGCACACGTGGCCACGCTGTGGCACTGATCTGGCTTCTTGAGGAGGCGGGAGGAGGACATGGCGCAGTTGGAGCGCAGCGTCTCGTGGTTCTCCTCCCCCAGACTGGACAGCTGCTCCAGGTGGCGATATTAGAGTGATGCCCCTGCTGGCGCCCGGAGTCCGTCACCTCTTCTTCGTACAGAGTGAAGGCCTAGGGGAGGGCAGATGTCATGGTGGTGAGGGAGATAATACTTACTTGAGCATCAAAGGCTTTTCAACAACAGGCAGATTACAAATTAGATCATACAAACTGAATGCAACAGTTGGGTGAGTGTGAATGCAAAATTTGACTGATTTTATGCACATAAAAGCACTACAGTATGTACAGCGTCAAAGTTTTCTAGATCCAGTTGAGAATCATACATTCTGACGACTAGGTGGCTTGTTTAGCTTGCCAAGGAAATACACGCACACCACAAAGGCCCAAACACACCCATATGTAACTCCTGGGTCACAACAGAGGGTTAATGTCACCCTGGCTGAAGTAACTCGTATGTGACGGTCTCGTTGCGTGATGCGGTCGGCCACCATGGAGCCCTGGAGGAAGAGTCTCAGAGAGAGCTCCGGCTGGTTCTTGACCAGAGCATTGATGGTCTGGAAACAGAACTTGAAAATCTGCTCACACTTCATGAGCCAGCGGTCGTCCTGCAGAGAGAGATAGGGAAAAAGAGGGAGAGAGATTGAGAACTGTTACACATATCTGTGACGAGGACGAGAATGCAATAGTAAAATAATGAGCAAACCTTTTTAGTAAACATTACGGTACGGACAGAGCTGTGTACATGCTAATAGTATGCAGAAAAATCAGATAAAAAGGTGGGCTTGCTTCGCTCACCAATAAAAACTCATTTTCATAAAAACAGGTCATCAGGCAATACTTTGAGAGAGCAACTCATTAACGAAAGGCTCGGTTTTGCACCACATTACCACAAGAACTGTATGAAAACAGTTAGATGCCCACTGGTATATACTCTGTGTGAATACTATGTATATACCATCATGGCAATACATGGAGTGAAGGTCAAAGTGGGGATGGATTCTGGACTGACCTGTTCTCGGAGAGAGTGGTACTGGGAGATGAGTTTGTAGGCAGCAAACACCAGGGGAGGCAGAGTGAATCGAATCCTCTTGTCTCCTCCCGTGCCAAAGTGCTTCCGAGCTACATTCAGTATCTGAAGGACAGCATTCACTACTGCACAAGTAACTACACACAACAAGGCTACATAATATCTAGACTTTATTCAACAATTCTCCAAAAGAGTCATTATAATTATTATAACAATCTTCTGTTTTTCTTTAAAAAATTGTGACAGAGAGTCATATCAGGGTTCATAAAATTTAAAGGTATACTTTTGTGGCGGAGGAAATCCAATCTCTAAAAGAAACCGTTGGCACTAATAGGTAGCTACTAGTGGGTACATATTCAGTATGTACCATGTACTGCTGGTCAGGTTCAGGGACTCTGAAGAGGTCCACGAGACAAGCCATCATCATCTGCTCCTCCTCAAAGTCGTCCGGATGGGGAGGTTCGGCCGGCTGGTCAGCCTGGTCCTTCACCAGTGGTGACAGCAGCTTGAACAGAGCATCCGCCTGCAAGATAGAGAATGAGAGAGAGAGAGAGAGAGAGAGAGAGAGAGAGAGAGAGAGAGGAGCTGATTCACAGGGAGTTTTCTTACCTTCAAATTACACGTTTATTTATTATTATTATTATTATTATTATGCTTTACAACACAGGTGGTGGAAAACGAGAATTGAAGAACAAAAAAGGTGAAGTACATGCATAGACTGTGCTGATGGACTGAAGGCATAAGCCAGCAGCCAGATAAAACAACACAACAAACGCAAAACATTACAAACTAACATTAAAATGCATTTTGACTGGTAATTGAGAACACTTGGGGCATGGACACAGATAGTGATATGAACACATATTGTTTGAATCGAAGTTGGACATGAAATGATCCCAGAAATATGCTCGTAACTTGGATTTTATTGCAGAAGGAGAAAGAGTTATATCGAAGAAAGGTAAGGAGTTCCATAGACGAGGAATCCGATTGAAATAAAAGTTCCTTTCATAGTTACTTCTACCGAGGGGGTGTTTCAGCTTGTAACTATGGCCAGCTCTAGTAGAATGACTACAGAACTGGACAAACTCGTGTATATTGAAATGGCCGGATGGAAACTTTACAGACTTGACCAGAAACATAATGTCAACAATTTCAAACTCCATCATCAGGGGCAACAGATTAAGGTATATTAGTCGATTCCTGTAGTCCAAGAGAGGGTTGCTGACGATGAATTTGGTCGCCCTTCTCTGGACATACTCGAGATATTTTATATCCACTAAAAGGTATGGGTGCCATACAGAAGAACAGTAAAGAAGCTGGGAACGAACAAGAGAAATGTACAAAGAGCGTTTTGCTGGTACCGACACAGAGCTGGAGAAAACTCTCCATAGAAGACCTAACATTTTGTAGGCCCTAGAAGAGATGAACTGATAATGGGATCGCCAGGTGAGATCAGCTGACACATATAGACCGAGATCCTTTTGTGCAGCTAAAGAGGAGATTTGTTTACCATTCAAACGATAGTTAATGCATACAGAATAGAATTGGTTGGAAATAGAGCCAGGCCAGGTTTACTGGATAAACTGGATAGTTTGTCCCCCAGATTACTCTTTCTGATGTGAGAAAATGGAGTTAGCTACCGAAGGTGACCCACATACCTCATCAGCAGTAGGGATGGATATAGACTTGTTTACTACAGTCCCCACCACACTAACAGCTAGAGACTTGCGCCCCTGATAGTCATGGAGCTCCAATGCCTGTAGAGAGGGAGAGGGAGGGAGGGAGGGAGATGAAGAACGAGAGGATGTGATGTAAGATGAACGAAACGGAGTGGAGAAGGGAGAGAGAGAGAGAGAGAGGTGGGAGACATTGAGAACCAGCCTACCGAGTGTTCTGACCATCGTCTACAGATTGTTATGAGACAACCATGATAGGTGATGGGCACTCACTTTGGGGAAGTTGTCTAGTTTGAGGATGTCGAGTGTGCTCTCGTAGGTCTTGACCGGGACATTCTGCAGTCGAATCAGCTCTCGGGACGTGACCGACGAACTGTCCACTCTGAACAATGACAAGAGAAGAGAAATTTCTAAATAGAGGTGGAGGAAGCTAAGGGTCAGAAAATTCGAAGCATTGACTTCTAAATTTGCTAGGTAAAGCCTGTTGTTCTTCTATGAATGCACAACACTATCACCACCAAATCACTTCTCACTGTCCCCCAACAACCCGGCCCCTTGATGGCAGTCAATGATGTCTAAGTACGTACGGGGGGGTGGCTTCTCTCTTGGTGAAGACCTCCACGGTACAGAGGAGGGCGGTGTCCACGTAGTCCAGTCTGTTGGGGTAGCACTTGAGAGCCAGGTTCACCAGTGAGGCATACAGAGCCACCACGTCCTCCAGTGGCATGGCCTCGCGCCCCTTCATATGAGATGAAATGAGAAGAGCAATAGAATGCACCAAACACTCCAGTATAGAGTGAGATAGAAGAGAAGGGAGATATAAGGGACCAAAAAGTGGAAACTTTGTCCATTTCAAGGTGTGAGAGTCACCTATCAACCTCAATTGGTGGGGTATCCAACAGAGTTGCTTACATAAGTATGCATAATAGTAATGAAGCTAAACCATTAGTGTCACTAGCACCTGAAATATTTTCACTAAGGTAAGTTGAACTGGTCTAGAGATTTGCCAACTTAAAGCTTGGCCACTGACTGTATGCCAATTCAGAAGTAGTGTGCATAGCTAAAACTGTGAGAAACCTAAAGTAGCAACCCTGCCATTCCCTCACTATACGGTATAACATGATTACTCTGAATTAAAGGGGCAGTGAGTGAGGCCTAGTCACACTGACCTCAGTGACCTCTCTGTCTTTGCTGGTGAAGTGGCCGGACCAGAAGACGTGGCACACGTGGCCACGCTGTGGCACTGATCTGGCTTCTTGAGGAGGCGGGAGGAGGACATGGCGCAGACACAAGTCAATTTCACAACCTTACACTGTGACTATAGTGTACCCATATATGTCTTTTACACGAAGTTGTCTTGAGAGGGGGGATATGGAAACAGAACACGCATTTCCGTTTCCGTGTGCTTATATACCTGGCTAACACAACCCACACTAAAATGTGATTTACACAGCAGCAACAGATGGTTGAAAGAGGGAGTACACAATCTCTACAAGGCATACAAATGCCTACCGTAATGCCTACAAGTTAACATGCACCCCATCTCAATGGTACACGTCGTGTCTATGATACAGTATGTGGTCCTTTCCCTTGCAGTGGAAATTTTGAGGGAGAGAAGCCGTACCAGACTGGTAGTGAAGCCTGCACTTCCTGCCCCAGCGAACGGCTCTACTGTGTCAACAACCTTTGCTCATGTACGACTAGATGCTTTTTTATTCACAACTGAATGTCTCTCTCTCTCTCTACAGTTGAGTCAGGAGCAGTAGTTGCAGGAGTCTCCCTGCTGGCTGTAGTGCTGATGGCAGTGACTGGTGCTCTGATGCACTAAGCCATACTGGCCAAGGACACATAGGCATACTTTGAGACCAGTCAACACTTTACACACTTGGCAGTATTAGCCATAGACTTTCCTTTCGTTTTTCGATATTTTTCGTGTTGTCATAAACTAGTAAGAACAGAAGACAAATACAAAGATAGGCAGCGTGTATCTATCGTCTA